TTGTGCTCCCCAAACTACAAATTAGTTATTTCATCCCATCCTAATAAATGTTTACTAAGTTGGCCGATAGAGCCCCATGAAGAGATTGTAATGACATAATAGCATACTCTTTTCATTAATCATCCACTATATCATCTCTTAAGATGCAGGGATAGTATATATTACATTCAATACCACACAATACTACACTTTTGTGATATCTACCACATGTCCCAAAGTTTCGAATTAGTTCCCATATCTTATCCATGTAAATGATTACCGCGTTTGGTTGATATCACATTATATTGCCAAAGGGCAAATAGGGAGAGCCTGATGACATAAGGTTTGCTAATACATTCTAATATGGGCCTTTGAGCACTCAGTCCCATCATATTGTCCAAAAAAGCCGAGCCAACTCACGAGCTACATATAGCTTGAATAGCTGGTGAGCCTAATCGAACTTCTAATAAAATATTATTTTTCAATATATTTTTACTTTTAATATAAACAAATATTAATATTTTATAATATAAGTAAATAAATTTATAGTAAAATTTCACAATATATTTTTATTTATAATATTTTAAATATTAATTTATTTGAAAAACCACGCAACCCAAGTCTGTTCAGGCCACATGTTTCTACGTACACTTGGGGCCATTGAAAACACATATGGCATCTGGTTCAAATTCAAATAGACCGTTACAAAACATCTGGTTAAAGAGCCCATCTTGTCAAGCATTTATAGCTGCAGCTCCTACCTGTTACTTTACTTACTGATACTGACTGAAACTGAGAGCAAGCCTTAGCCGCCCAGAGGAGAGGTGTTCATTGGTTGATTGGTCACGCTCATCTCTACTAACTATGGTACAACATGGCTTTTCTCTATCAAATATTACTCAAAAATAGAAATTAATTCGATTACAAGAAGCTCCAAAACAAAGAAGATGACCACTGAAGGTCTCTGCTTGCTTTTCTCAGAGATCACGGCTTTGCCACTGTTACTTGAATGAGCCTTGGATTCATTCAAGCTTGGTATTGGTATGCGCATGTGATGGTCCTCTTATTGGGACCACGCCCATCTGTCCTTTCTTTCAGTTTCAGAGTGTTCTTTATGCATAAGTTGATAGAGAAGATATATCTGTTTGGATAAATTTTTGCTTTTCAGCTTTGACTTTGGAAAAAACAATTGAGTCAAAAGGGTTTTAAGCATTCGTTAACAACTTTTAATTTGAAGCCAAAACACTTTTAAATAACCCATCCTTAACCTTATTAAAGACATTATTCAAGTGTGATGTGGGGAACTCAGACAGAGCCACTTAACTGGCCTAGCTAGTTGGATTTTTTTTTTTTAGACCAAATTCATTATGGCTGTATTTGGCTGCATTGCGAATCTAAATTAATATATGCAAAATTTGCACCCAATATTAAGTTTTTCATTTATTTATTTGTGATTTGCACTTTTATCAGGTACAAATTTGTACCTTTTTGTCTCATCTGCACTCATTAGCATATAAATATTGTATCTCAAAAACTGATGCAAATTTTGCATCACCTTCTCTCTCTCTCATGTAAAGTGGGAATCATATAATCCAAATCCCTACCTCATTCCAAACCAATAACCCTCCCTACCTCCATTCTATTTCAAGTCAGGTGGGGTATCACATCATTAATTTTACTTCCTATTTTGCTTTTTACACTCAACCTATTTAAATTCCATGCATTACAAGATTAAATCTAAAGTAAAAGCAAATCAAAATTTAGGCCTTGGATAGACTTTTAAAAAGTACTTTTATACTTTTGAAAGTATAAAAGTATGAAAAACCCGACTTAGCGTTTATATTATGTACTTAATACTTTTTTCTTTCATACTTTTAAAAGTATGAAAAGCCCTAAAAGCACAAAAACGGCTTTTTATACTTTGTGCTTTAGGTGAAATTGTGGTTTTGTTTTCGTGCGAACAGGTGATCACGTGTGACCACACTTTGATAAAACTCTCGACCCTACCTCCGCTCGCAGCTATTAGAGAATATCATACTTCTGTTTTAAAAAGCATATTTTTTAAAATTTTTAACCCAAACAGTTTTCAAAACAAAAATATCAAAGTAATTAAAAGTATTTTATGTACTTTATACTTTGATATTTTTAAAAATATAAAAGCAAAAATCTATCCAAACAAAGCCTTACACTCAACGTATTATTTGCATTGCAATCAAGCGCAAGCTAATATTCATAATTTGATTGGATGTTATCTGTTTGCTAAATTCACAGTAAATGGCAGAGATTTGGGCAAAACTGACATAATTACATTCTCATTTCTCATGAATACTATACCAACATAAAAGAAAAAAAAACTCATATTTATCTTTGTTATAATATATTATCTTAAACAGTAAATTTTCTGGGTACTTTCTAACCGTTATGGCTGGTCCCCTAATGAAGTCACAAAACATTTTTTGTTTTTGAGGATATTTGTTAAATGAATTCGATACATACGATGTTTGGTTTTGATAAGTATATGTTTGGATTGATAGAAATGGAAAGTTGAGGGAAAGTTTTTTACAAATTTTGTAAAATTCATTATAAACTTTTCCTAAAAATTTTATGTTTCTCTGTTATTTTGTATCAAACCAAACATACCCCATAGATCTAGGGTTGAATGAAGGCGAAGAAAAAGGATTAATTCATGCATTACTTGTTAAATTCAAAGCATAAGCTAAATCAATTCTATACCTCTATGTTTACAACTCTACATATGAACATTTGTCCTCCCACCAGAGATCTTTCCTCCCTAATAAATTATGAGACATAAAGATAAGAAGTCTGATACACAACATGAAGGGGGCCCACTTTTTACAACATGAATGATTTTGTTTTCATTTGTTTTTGGAATTACCACATCAACAAAACAATAAGAACATGTTCTTGAATTTTATTTTTGTTTTTAAAGGGGAAAATAAGTTGGTTTTGTTTCAAGAAATAATTAATGCATATACATGTTTTTGAAATCAACAAAATATTGATTTTTAAAAACAAATTTTATGATCTATGGGACATGACGTTGAATAATCAGATGAAAACATGTTTTTAGAATCAACAAAGTATTGGTTTTTAAAACAAATTTTATGATACATGGAACATGAATCAGATGAAAACATGCTTTTGAAACCAGATTCAAGAACATGTTTTGGGGTTCAGTTTTGAAAACAAAAAATACATACACATCCAAGAACATGAATATTTTGGGTTCAACTATGATACGGAAAAGCTATGAAATCCGACAAATGTTTAACCGCTCAACTGGAATCATAAATGTAGTAGCCGATCCGGTGTTATTTTATCAAAATTCATGGGTAGGTTTTAATTGGTCAAAACTCTTTCCATGCCATGTCTTTTTTGTGTCATAGATTTTAATTTCTCGAATATTTTTCATAAAAAATAAAGAACATGAATATTCAAAATCCCCTATATATCCCCACTGAAATGAGGTCTAGCTAGTTTAATGACTTGTTTTCAAATTAGTCGCATCTTGGAGGGCCTTATTATTGATTGCATAGAACCCTGGATTTCCATCTACATTTTTTTTGTTGATAACTAAAAGAAAATAAATAGTAGAGGGATTTCCCTCTACTTAATTCATTGTGGAATAATGGAATATACAGTTTTGAAATTTATTCATCCCAATTCGCAACAAAAAAAAAGAAAAAAAGAAAAAAAGGAAGAAAATTGAAGGGGACCAATGAAAGGCCACGCGCAAGACTTTTTAAGATCCTTGTTTGTTTGAGATACATGAGATAAACATTTTGTTAAAATAGAGCCAAAATGAGTATTGTCGTTTTGATGTAAGACACTGTGTGATTCAGTCATGTACTGGTTTTGTCTCATAAATTTTCTTTATCGAGGTTGTTGGAAATAAAACAATATTTGATCCCTCAAAGGTCAAGCCTTGCCAAATTTTCAAACCCTCCAGACAAATGTATCACATGTACATGAAAGAGTGATCAGAGAGAGAGAAAAGGGCTCGATATTTTACATTTTTCGCGTAAAAATAAGGCTACGTTTGGTTGCAGTGCAATTTTATTTATATTAGTACGAATGCATGAGAATGCAAATGAAAAGAATATAGTTTCTGGTTTAATTTTGTTTTAGATTTTATTCCGTTTTATTTTATATCTTATTTTAATTCATTTATACTGTGATCAAATAAAATAAAGTAAAATTTGAAATAAAAATAAATCAGAATTTACACCCAAATCGTTTATACTATCATAATTTTGCATCAGTGCAAATTTAAAGAAAAATTATTGATACAATCAGAAAATGTGAAGAATATCTTTTAAAAGAAAGAATTCATTCAGTGGGAATTTCTGCGTGTATAAGTCAATTAAAATGTTACCTTTTGTAAATTTTTGGCACACCTGGTGCATCAATGTAAAAGACTTAGGGTCTGTTTGATTTGCACTTGGAATTGGAATCAATATCCTTCGAAGTCGGAATCAAAATGGTCTATTCCCATGGTCTATTTGGTTCAGACAGGAAAGAGAATAGAAATTAGACTCAGCAAGAATGGGATTTCATTCCCAAGTGAGAGACAGGGAATGGCCATTTCCTCAAATGGGGGAATGCCATTCCAATAGGAATGGGAATGTGATTCCGTTTCCGCCCAATCAAACAGTTGAAATCAGAATAGCCCATTCCGATTTCGACTCCAGACCCCTATTCATAAGCCAAACAGAGCCTTAAAGAAGGCAAACTTTGGATTAATCTATAATATTCCAACTCATTATAATTATAACTTTCAACAACTATAAGCTAAGACGCATAATTCAACAGATATTTTATAAGAAAAAGAAAGCAAAACAATTCATCATTCAGTAGAAGAAAGTAGAAAAGTTTGGTATACAGAGTATCATTTATTTACCAAAAGAAATAACAAATATTTTATTTATATTTACATTTTGCCTGTGTAAATATGCATATAAAACTGTAAGTTTGTATACACTTTTTGACTACATATCACCTATGAAATTGGTGAAACTCTGGTCTTGCTACTTCCAAGAGGTTGAATCTTGGTATATGGAGTGTCCACTCTCCACCAGAATGTGCACAAGTGCTAGTAAACTAGCCTAGAGAAGTGTAACAGCAAAGAAATAAGACCAAGAAGATGAAGAAAACAAATTGACCAAGAAAAAGAAGAAAAAGGTAAAATATGGGCCATTTTCCCAATCCTTCTCTCCATTAATGAGGACAAATAGAAAACAGAAAACCCACAATTCATACAGTTTCTCATTCAAAACAAACTGCAAATTACAGCTCTCTCCAATGACTCATCATTTGAACAATGGTTATACAACAGAATGATATCTAACAAATAAGAAGACAAATATCCTGAGATGTTGAAACCTTTCTGAATCTTCAGTTTGATCTATAATTTGTTTATTAGACTCATACACTCTCATTCAACTTTTTTACTTCCATATCTATATTAACAAAGCGCTGTCTTGTTGTTGGTTACCTGTGGCAGACACATCTGTAGTGGTATGCACTGTTGATTGGATCATTGGCATCAACTGGAATCTGTTCTGCTCTGCACTTGAACTTACACCCTCTACATTCATTATAAGTGCATACAGGAGCCGTTGACCCGATCATTAGTCTCCTTGAATTCTTCATCCACCATTCTCCTCCAACACCCTACAAGGTCCAAATTAATGGAAGAGAGAGAAAGAGAGAGAGAGGAGCTAAAGTTTTAAATTGTTGAGTATTTCATGACACAACAGTTCCTTAGAGCTATTAAGGATTTGTATGTTACCTTTAAATTCAATTCATTGAGGGATTGAGAGAGATGAGAGAGTCCTTGGTGATGATGAGATGCTATTCTGGATGCATAACCTGCAAATTCAACAGACATTATATATAGCGAATATTTCTAGCTAGTTTTAACAGATAATCAAGAAATACACAGACAAATCACGTAAGATAACTACAGAATTCGTGAGCAGTATTCGTAAAGCAAAAGAATAAAATAACAAAATAAATACTAGGGAGTTTAGCCCAAATCCAAGGGTGGGGGCAAAACAACAGTGTATGTTGAGTCTGACCTTGTATAAAGAATAATGATGCAAAAAGGAAGGTGGTGAAGATGAATGTTATGAACAAGTGAGTTGATTTCTTAATGCCCATTTGATTTGCACTCTGAAATTGGAGAAGATATGGAATGATAAATGGTCAATATGTTGAAGGAATGGTAGAAGAGAAGAATGAGAGAGAGAGAGAGAGAATGCTGGACCTGGACCAGAATTGAATAATGGCCACATTGGTGACAAACTGGCATAATGTGCAGTTATTCAGAGCAGAGCATACCAAAGAGGTCCCCATAACTGACAGGCTTGATGTGCACTATAAAAAATTATCTCATCATTGAGATTGAGATGCAGTGCAATTTTATTTACACTAGTACAAATGCATGAGAGTGCAAATGTAAACAAATATAAATTCTTGTTTAATTTTGTTTTGGATTTTATTTTATTATGTTTCATGTCTTAATTTATTTCATTTGTATTGTAATCAAACAAAATAAGTCAAAATTAAAAAAAAATAGATCAAAATTTACACTCAAATAATTTGTACTGCCATGGTTTTGCTTCAGTGCAAAACCCTCAATCGTGGTTTTGCACTATTGGTAGATACACCAACCCTGCAATACTCTGAACCGCTGGGAATTTTGAGTTGAAGCTTAGATACTGGTGGTTGGACCAAGTGAGTCCCATATCTAATATTATGATTTTTTTTTTTTTTTTAAATTCTGTATGGTCTATTCAATTCATTCTTGGGTACATTGAACCGCAAGGAGACAAGGAAAACAGCTATACAATAACTAGGAATCCGGAAAAAAAGAACACCGATCTCTCTCTCTCGCGCGCATTTTAAGAGAATAATCCCAACATCACGCATAAGATTTTTCCGTACTCGGACGGAGACATGATTTCTTGCTGGCCTAACTAAACAATTCTACAGTGGCAAAGGAAATCTTGTGGATCTGCTACCAACAGTACGCTGCCAACAAGTTGAGAATATCTCAACAGACCAACATTGTTGGTAGCGTTATATTGGTTGCAGATCAGTGTTGCAAGGGGCGGGCCTAACCCGAGCACCATCTGACTCAATCTGAGCTTTTTTGGCACAGAGCCCAGCCTGAGTTGTGTTGGTTAAGCTTAGGTTGGGCCAGTTGGGTTGATAAACTTGAGCTTAACCTGGAATTGGGGCAAGTCCGAGCTTTGGGTTTACACCTTTAATGGTGGCCCTGATGAATTCCTGAAACCCAATACTTTATTCCTATCATTAGAATTTTTTCAATTAACTTCATGGTGTATTTCTTTAAATATTTCTAAAACCTCAAACTACACTTACGTTTTTCTATGAGATCATTTTGCCCCTTTTAACATGGATTTTCTAAAATCCTAACTTTCACATGTTTCTCTCAACTTGCTTTCAACAAAGTTCTTGGGAATGGTTATTTTCATCATTTTGATAATTGTTTGTATCATCATCAACTTGAGGATTAAATATTACCTAAGTCAGAGTGGTTATGTGTAATTTACCCATATTTATTATTATACTAATTTTTAAAGATGTGCCTAAAATTTTCTAATTTTTTATGTATATATTTTTATTAAATTTTAAATTTTTACTATTTAATTATGGTATCATGAGTTCACATGTTTGATCTAAATGACATGATTACTTCTCTGCCACATACAAAAACTAGTTTCATTTTTAGTTGATTTTAAAGTATAGGTTTTATATTATTAATATCAATGTTCATTGATTTAATTAATAGAATTTAATGATAATAGTAAAAAATACCTTAAATATAGGATTCAATGAGAGAGAATAAGAGTTAATGTCTTAAATATGAAACTTTATGAGAGAATGAAATGCACCAAAAGGCAATATTCAAATTACCATTTGTACCATCACAATAACCAAATTCAAAAAGAGGGGTATTTTAATGAAGAAAAACTCCCAAAACCATGAGGAAGCTATTCACACTTTTTATAGTAGTATAGATAATTCTTTTAAGAATCAAATTTTTAGAAGGCTTCTTTTAAGAATTAACGGGAGTGAATTTTGATTAGATGTGTATAATCCATCAGGTCGATGATATATGTAATTAATAGGGTTAAATTTTTTATGAGATATATGAAAACAAAGAAATTAACATATATCCAATGAGAAGAAGCCAAATTATGCTAGAGTTGTGCAATCATACATAAAGCTCTAGTTGAGCATTTAGAAGCAAATGAGATAGAATACAATGCCACACAAGGGAAAACAAAGAAGTTGTGATATAGTAGAAAGAGCCAAAGCTTCAACCACGTGTGAAAAACCCCTGTAGAAACCTTCTCTTTCCAGAAATGTTTACCATGTAAGTATTTTTCTCTCGAAATTGCTAGCCCAATTTAGATAGCAAGGCTTTATTTCTATGCCCCGTTGCAACTAAAAGCACAACCCACCTTTAGATTTAAGTTTCAACATGCACTCCCATTTGGATACATGAGTTCTTTTTCTTGTCTTCCGAATCACCCCACCAGAAAATTCTACATAAAATATCAAGATGATGACAAATTTCTTTAAGCATGAAATGATATTGCATCAGGTATAATGGGATAGCCTCTAAAATAATCCTTCTCGCTTGAGATAACAAAGGTGTGAGTAGGGGGGTAAGACTACGTATGGGAGTCTTTTTGAAAGACGAAGGAAGGCTGAAGGCAAATGTAGGCTAGAGGCTAAGGTGAATAGAATGATAGAATGATATCCTCGTTATGAATTGGATCTCTATTTATAGGGAGGGATCCCGAGGTCCCAAAAGGAAGGAGCTAAAAGTGTTTGATTCCCACTAGGGAAGGGAATCTTTGATTCAGTGTCACTTATCAGGGAACATCACTAGGGTTTCGCCACATGTCTTATGAGATATATCAAGGACGATGTTTTCTTTCGTCTGAGGATTCTCATAATACACATGTGCTACTTCCTTTTGCGAGTCTCTTAAACTGACGTGACATGGGTGACGTCAATACTTACCTCATGTGTCTTTTCTAATCCTATTGGGCGTTCTGTCACACGCGTTATTGATGAAGCACGTGTTTCTTTACTCATTGTGACTTGCGATGGTCTTGGACTCATCGCAGGTTTGTGATGAGTTTGAGCTCATCGCAGGTTCATGATAGTTCTGAGTTCATTATAGATCTTCAATGGTTTCATGTTCATAACGAGTCTGCAATGGATTTGAGCTCATCACAGGTTTGCGATAGCTTTGAGTTTACTTTTATTATTATGGTTATGGGCCTATTGTGGGTCTATGGTGGTCTTGAGCTCCTTGGAAGCTCGTTTCAGGTTTTGAGGTCATCACAAGTCTTTGCAAGTTCTAAGCTCGTCACTGATGTTCTTGTAGTATCGATTTAGCACTTTCTGTGTCCCCACAATCATGGCTATTAACATATACCTACAAAAGGGATTTTCCATCTTGTCAATCTAGCTTTCATCCGTTCTAAAACATAAGACCATCCACCAATATTCCTCCCTCCTTTTAGGAGGGGTACCCTTAGGTACATCTCATCTTGATTCATGTGTCATACATTCAAAGCATTTGAGATAAGATTTGAAGTAGATTGCTGATTTCTAAAAATTTATGAGTTGTCCCGACCATTGACAGAAAACGTCTAATTGTATGACACCTTACTTAGCCTAATGGGGTGAAAATTTAAGGGAAATTTGAGTGTTTGATTTATAGAAGAAACCGCCTCTGGATTGGAGAAGCAATGTTGGACTAACTTCACAATATCATTCCCTACTATATATCCCAACACCTTTGATAGACCGCTGCTGCGCATGGATACCATCTGGTCCTAGTGCTTTATGAGCACTCATACTAAGTAAATAAAACATTCTTGATTTCTAAGGCCTCAAGTAGCTTGCATAATAAATCATTCCCTACTATATATATATATATCCCAAAATTAAGTGATATCATTGAGATCAAGGATGCAATTAAAATCACCCAGAGCACAGGTACGTAGGTCCACCCAAATGAGCAATGTTATCTTGTAAGTAATTGATAAAAGCATTATGACCCTCAACACTAAAAAAGCATCATAAATACCACTCTAAGAAACTTGGATAATTTATTACTTTGGCACATATACATTGGGAAGATGAATCAACAATTTTCAATTTGATTTGTTTATCCCAGCCTAAAGTGAGACCACCAGAGCGGCCACTAAATGGAAGGATGAGTTTATCATAATGTGAAGTGAATCGAAGAAGCCTTCGGGCCTTCTTCTCTTGACATTTGGTTTCACATAAAAAAGAAAAACTTAGGTTTCTTTGAGCTGAGAATTTTTTCAAATAAGGAACTGTAGGGGAATTTCCCAACCCCTTGAAAGTTCCAACATAAAACATTTATGATGACTGATGAGAGGTAATTTGGTCCTCCAATGACATCATGACACATGGTATCGCAAAACAGCTAGGTGATACTTCGTCACCATGTAAGCAAATCACTTTAGACACTTTGTAACTGCATCAGCAAACTTAACACCACCCCAGTAGGCTGAACTGTGAACAGCTAGGCAGGACCTTAGGTCAATGTAAGTGACGACCTGCTTCTACCAAACTGCCTGGCCCCAGTTAGCAACCTGCTTGATGTGCCAAATGACCTCACCCTTAAGTGGTCAATTGACTCTGAATTCCCTGGGATCACGACGCCACGTTGGAAGAGCTGGTTATCACCTCACCCGTCTCGGATGAGATTGGATAGACATTACCTACTTACATGGAGTCCACCTCCAAGCGTGGAATCACCTCCAAACTGGATGGGTTGGAGATCTCGAACGCGTTTTGAGGAGCTCATGGCAGCTCACCTATATAAGGGCCTCATCTCCAACCTCATGAGGTACGCACAATTTATCTCTCAAGCATACTAGTTCGCTCTTTATAGCTCTCCAAGAACTTATCACTGACTTAAGCATTAGAGTGCCCACCTCAGGTTTAACAACCCAGACACTCTAATCTCTCTCTTCTTACATCTCGACCAAGTGACCTACTCAGTCCAGCGTCCAAGTTGTCTGCCAGCAAGGAGCATCAGATCGTGCACCATCTATTGGCACCATTTGTGGGATACCTTATACAAAAATCCGTACTTTCACACTTCCCTTTCAAGTAAATCTTCAATGGCATCGTCCAACAACACTCCTGTTAACAACCTTGTCAATAACAACTCGGTCACAAGGGAGCAAGACCAACCCGTAGTGCACCCCGAGATCTCCTCTGTGACTATTGGGTAGTCCACTATACCCCTAACCTTACC